GCAGAGCTTCGGGACGGCGGCCGCCAACCCGGCGATGCTCGCGCTCCAGATCCCTCGCCTGCTCAAGGGCTCCTCGCTCCCCGTCCTCTTTCAGTCCACCGCCTCGGACCCGTACACAAGGCTCGAGGACTTCACGGACATGCTCCGCATGCAGTCCGGCGGTGCAGATGAGAGGCGGCGCATCGAGGAGAGGCGGATCAAGCTCGCCACCTCTCTGGGCGCGCTCTACCAGCTGGTCATCCAGCCGTCGCCTTCGGCCCAGACTGCGACCACTCTGGTGAGCCGCCTGGCCGCCAAGATTCTGACTGCGCCCCAGCTCAAACTGTCGCTCGCGGACCAACTTGCCATCCTCTCGGCAGTCGTCCATGATCGGCGGCATCTTGTCCAAGCCGGAGCTTCCGCGGAAGACGCGGTCACCGCTCTGATGGCGGAGAACCTCCTCTACGACGGGGGGCGAGTCCCGGGCGGACCTGCCCCGGGTGCTGACGGCGGGCCTGATGTGTCTGCCCACGCTCTCCCGAGCCGCCTCATCGAGAAGGCTTCGATGCTGCCCAAGTTTCAAGCGCTCGCGGGCGCAATCGTGGGACTGGACACCGCCAACTCCGAAGTCAGGCGCCAAATCCTGGCAGCCTCGTTCGCAAGTGGGAGCGACATCGTCTTCCGAGTTGTCCTCGGGCCTGGGGGCCGCGAGGCCAGGATGAATGCGACGCTCGCCAAGATTGCCCACTGCAAGGTGGAACTACCCACCTATCTCACATGGTGCCTGGTGGTCGGCAGCGGCGGCCAACGCCAAGAGGAGCTCGGGAGGTACCACCTCACGGGCCTCGACGGCACAGAAAACCGCCTCTTCAAGTCGTTCATATCGGGCAATCTGGTCGGCACCGACTACATGAATGGCCCGAACGGCGCGCTGGACTGGGTCGGCTCAAGAATCCGGCACAACTTCCCACGCGTCCACCCAAAGGATCTTTACACCATCCGAGACAAGGTCCGCCACCTCGGCGCGTTCCTTAATAAGCTCTTCGTGGGCATCGGCTTCCTGGAGGCAGTCCCAGCTGGTGAAGGCTTCACCATGAAGACGTGGTTTGAGTTCTACATAGAGCAGCTCGACCTCACCAGCTACTACACGCTCTATGAGCGAAAGTGCAATCACCTTTATCAGTGCAGCCGGCAGATGGGGGCCTTCCTCCGCCTCGCCGAGATCGCCGTGGAGAGCCTCAAAACGAGGTCGCACCCCGGCGAGGAGGGATTTGGGGCGCTCGCTCCCGAGGACTGCCAGCCGGCAAAGATCCTCCGCGGCCGAGTCGAAACTGCTACCTGGCGGAACGCGGCGGAGCAGCTTGACGAGGCTCCTATCAGGCCGGTCACAACCTGCGACGGAGATCTCTTGCCGTTGCTTTCGGAGTGGGAAAACCACCCGTGGGACAACCGCCAACCGGGTAAGCTGCCCAAGCCCAACCCAGCACGGCGAGGCGGCCCCTCCGCCAGCTGCGACGGTCGTCATGGGGGTCAAGTGGCAGCAAATGGAGCGGAGGTAACCTGCGCGTCTGGCCGAAAACGCCGCCATGAACAGCGGCGCGAGCGTCAGCGCTACCAGGGCGCATCATCGTGAGCGGTCGGGCAGCGGCTACACAGCCCGGCTTGTGTCGATCGTCAAGATATCAATGGACGCACTCAAACTCCATCGTGTCCGGAGGCACTCAAACTCCATCGTGTCTGGAGGCACTCAAACTCCGTCGTGTCTGGAGGCACTCAAACTCCACCATCGTGTCTGGAGGCACCATCGTCACGCGGCGGTCGGGTGGCGGCTACACAGCCCGGCAGCGTGTCAATCACATCGGAAGCTCGCGGCACCGCATAGCGGACGCGCGAGGTACCGTAGTTGCTGGTGTCGGACGCTCGCGGCACCGCACAGCGGATGCCAAAATTCGCGTTTGGGAAGATCAGTTTCCTGGGCTCAAGGGACATCGGTACTCTTGGTTTCCCAGCAACGAATCACTTCCGCCTGACAGCGGAATTGCCGAGTCTACCTCTGCTCCTCCCGTACGCGCCGACCCCGCCGATGCCATCGCTGATGGACCCCAGGGCCGCGACCAGCGCAATGTTCGTCCCTCAACCGCCGGTGCTCGCCGTGACGCCCCCGCCCAGTCTGCTCCGCCGCCTACGCCGCATGAGGTGCCACCTAACACGCCTGCCGCCGCCAGTTCAGGAGGGGCTGAGGCATCCACCATCGAGGTCCCCGCCGACGTTTCCCGCGCCTCGCCGCGCGCTACGGAACCGATCCCTATGCCTGACCTTGAGCCTCGACAGCCTTTGCGCCGCTCTGCACGCCTTAGGGAGCTTGGTCACTTTGCTTGCTCGTTCCTGAGTTACCACGTCGTTCCTACTGCGTGCCTCGCCGTCAACATGTCTGCCGCCCTCATCTCCAATGCCGTCTACTGCGAATCATGTGCCGCCGATTTCTTAGCCTTCGCTGATTGCCTTGGATCCGTCGACACCGCTTTCGACACTTACGATCCTATTGGCAACGAATTCTCACTCATCGCCGCCGCTCGGATTGCCTGCACTGCATACGCAGTTACCCTCACCGCCGATCAGGGTGCACTACGAGTGCCTAAAAGCTACCGGCAGGCCATGTCTAGCCCTCAAGTCGAGCAATGGCGCGAAGCTATTAACAAGGAACTTTCTGGTCTCATTGCCCTCGACACCTGGGACCTTGTACCGATTGCTTCGATTCCTGCCGCCGCCAATATTATGCACTGCCACTTTGTATTTGCAATCAAGCGCAAGGCTGACGGTTCAATCGACAAGTTCAAGGCACGCCTTGTCGCCGACGGCAACACTCAGAAGCATGGTGTCGACTTCAATCGCGTCTTCGCCACCGTCGTCAAGGCCCTTACTATCCGCCTCGTACTCGCCATCGCCGCCGCCCGAGATTACAATTTGACTTCTCTCGATATTCGGCAGGCTTATTTACAGGCGACCATCGACGAGGATCTGTACATGCGCGTTCCTCCAGGAGTCAACAGTGGCAACAACTCCCTCGTTTGCAAACTGCGGCGCAGCCTTTATGGACTCAAACAGGCAGGGCGAGAGTGGGGACTACTCCTCACCTCCTTCCTCGTTTCCTGGGGATTCGTTCGCTCGACCATCGACGTGTGCCTGTATATCTACCGATCTGGCAACCTTGTCTTATGGGTGCTAGTTTACGTCGACGACATACTCATCGCCGACAACTGCCCCACGCTGCGCGCCCGTTTCGTTGCCGACATCTCCAAGCGTTTTCCTACCGAGGACAAGGGCGAGCTCGAATGGATACTGAACACCGCCATCACGCGTGACCGCGGCGCACGGACCCTGAACTTGTCCCAGGGCCTCTACGCCGCCGACCTCGTTACCAAGTTCAGCGCCTATTTCGATCGGTCCCGCTCACGCCGCTTCGACTCGCCTATGGAAGAGGGGCTCGAACTGTCCGCCGACGATCAGCCCGCCGTTGGATCTGTTGAATACGACGAGATGTCCGAATTCCGCACCGCCTACATGGCCATCGTCGGCGGACTACTGTGGCTTGCCAATATGACGCGCGTCGACATTGCTTATTCCGCGTCCCAGCTTGCTCGGTTTATGACGAACCCTGGCCCGTCGCATTTTAAAGCCGCCATCCGGGTGCTTATCTACGTGCGCGACACAGCTGACCGCGCCCTCGTCATGCAGCCGAATTCCAACCGCAACCTTGAGAGCTACGTCGATTCAAACTGGGCCACGAAGTTCTCTTGCTCCGGTGGCATGTTCTTCTTCTACGGATGTCTCTTCCACTGGTTCTCCAAAATGCAGCGATCCGTCACGCTGTCTAGTGCCGAGGCAGAGTTCTTCGGCGCCATGCTAGCCGCCAAGGAGGTGATTTTCATCCGTGAGCTACTGATCGACCTTGGATTTTCCATCGACGGCGCCAGCGTCATCAACTGCGACAGCAAGTCCGCCGTCGGCATGGCCTTCGATCCCGTTGCCTTCAAAAAGACCAAGCACATCTTGCGCGCCGCCGAGTTTCTTCGCGATCTCGTCAGCCGTGGCGTTATCTCTGTCGAACACCTCCCCGGCGTCGTGATGCTCGCCGACCTACTCACGAAGGCTGCCTCGCGGGCCATCTTTACTGGCCTGATCAAGCAGCTCGACGACTTTCATGCCCTTTAAATTTATTTGTCCCTCGCGCCCCGCACTCGGGCCAGGAGGGGCTGTTCCCGGGCATTCACACTATATTCCTCTGAGATAATATTATATTTCGCCGCCACCGCGGCGCGCACGCTTTATCCGCGCGCTATATTAGTCGAGCCAAACTTGTGTTCTTGTTTTGGATCAAACTTGTTACAGCTCAGCGAACGCGATGCGGCCTCTGCCCAGCCTCCTGCTCCTATGCGCGAGCTACGGCGTGACCGCTATCGCGTAGGTAACTGGGCGGCCAAATTCACAACCTCGCGGGACTACTTATGTTTTCGTAAACGTAGTCGCGGCCCCCCGCTACGTCGCACGAGTGCAACCGGGTAGCGGGGGGCTAACATGCCCAAAAAGCAAAATGCAAAAAAAGCCCCCACACGGCACCCCAGGGCACCACCGCCCATGGATTTTTCCCAGGATACTTGAAGATCCCAGCCTCACACCAAGATCGTTGAGGGCGGGGACACATGTACATGTACATGTGCATGGACATGTCCCTAAATCCCATCTCGTCTCAGAGTTTGACCGATTTATTCATTTGTTTATTGCCCAGGATAGAAACAAAGCCCTTCTCCGGCGCACCCCCGTGGAAGCAACCCCCGTGGAAGCCCTGCAAGCTTTGTTCAGGACTTGAAACTCGCCTCCTCCGAGTGCGTCTCTGCTAATCCCGTTGCGGGAGGCAGCGGGACGGCACCCAAGCCCCGCAGCCCGGAGGATCGCCTTCGCCTCGCCTCTGATGCTATCACATCGGTCGCATCGCCCTCCTCTGGGGCTAGCATGTGTAGGCCGACAACGCCAACGACAATGAGAAGCACCGCACCAGCCATGGGAAGAGTGAGACGTTCCTGGAAAAGACACGTCCCGACCACCACAGTCGCGGCGGTCCCGATGCCGCTCCAGACAGCATAGGCGGTGCCGAGGTTGAGCTGGGTGAGGGCAAGGGGGAAGAGGCCGAGGCTGACGGCGTAGAAAGAGTACACCGCGATGTACCACAAGCTGTTTTGACCAGCCAGCTTCATCGCCGAGGTGCCACAGACCTCGAGAACAATCGTGAGTGAAAGGAGGCACCACGCCTGCAGCTCGGTTGATGGGAAAGCCGGGTTGCCTCGCCCCTCATCGCTGCCTCCGGTGGCACTGCCCGTGGAAGGTGCTGAGCTCTCCATCAAGACCACTGCGACAAACGTCGAGTCAGCGCGCTTCCCCTCCTCGCTTCCCGTGAGCGCGGGGTCGTCGTCGGCAGGACGTGCGTCATAGTCCACGGCAACGGCTCGTTTCTTTTTTCACGTCGCTGGGCGTGGTGTAACTGTGTTAATTGCAGTCGCCAGCGGGCGCCCTGACCGGGAATTCTTTTTCCGTTGTATGTTTCTGATACATCTCACGTCGCGTGTCGCTCAGTATCCCTGATTTCCCGGCCAGGTGTCGCCATGACCTGCTGACTTCCCGGCATGCGGTCGCTACGGCGGTGGCTGTCGTCGCAGGCGCAGCGGCAGAGCTTTCAGGTATTTTTGCCGGAGCGCCTCGATTTGCATCTCCGGCGGCCACGGGCCGCGAGCGGGGGCGTCTTGGCGCTCGCGGAGATGCGTGGCACCAGCGCGCGTGCAGAGCGTGCGGTCGCGCGTGCCGTTGGATCGCTCGGCCGGGGGCGGCGGCGGCTGGACGGCGACGCGCCGCCACCACATGCGCGCGAGAGCAGCAGCAGCAGCGGCGGAGGCGGCAGCGGCAGCCTCGAGAGAGAGGGCGTGGTGCTCTCGTCGATGGTGTCGCTACTCAACGCGCACGTGCACAGCAACAGCCTACGCGCGTCGAGCAACAGCTTTGAGTTCGCCTTCGACTCGGCCGAGGCCGCAGAGGCGGAGTGGGGCGCTGGCCGCGAGTCTGCGGCGGCGGCAGCGGCGGCGGCCGCGCGTGACGAGTTGGCTGCGGCACACGTCGGGCGGTGGGGCAGCCGGGCCCCGCTGCTCGCGGCGGCGGAGCGGGACGTCGCGCCCCTGGACGCCTCTCTGGACGCGGCCCTCGACTTCGCCGAGGCGGCCGAGGAGCAGGAGGCGCGGGTGGCTGAGTATTTCCCGGACGCGTACCACGCCTTTTCGCCGCGCGGCGCTGTGCAGCCGATGCT